TCATAATATTGATTTTGTTATGATAGCATTATTAGTTTTGCTATAATAGTTTTGCTAACTTTGCTATGATAATTTTGCCATGATCATTGTGTTTGTAAAACCTTCTAAAAATATCTACAAATAATATTCTCTAAAGCTAATGTTCAATAAAATATAAAGAATTATTCATCCAATCATATTGTGATATGAAGCAATCAATAATAAAATTAACTAATATTCTACTAAAAGCTCATATCACAACAATATAAAACTAATATTATATAATTTGTAATAGTAATTCATTTTGTTTTTATATAGATTTTCAAATTATCATTCAAGATTTGTTTCAATTATTGACTTTTTATTATTATTTATTTCATAATTTATTTAAAATTTAATAGTTTGTATTGATCTAATTCTGTGCTTCTATATTAAGAATTTCTGATTATTCATTTTATGACTAATTTGATTAGCAGGATTTTTATAAGTATCATCTATTTTAATTTATTTTTTCATCAAAGCATATTATTTTACACAAAGGGTTTTGCATCTTTACTGGTCATTTAAATAATTATTTGTTATTTTTTATTATTTGATCAGCTGAAACGATTTGGATCAGTTTATAAAGCACGTGATCCGCGAAAGTGTCGAATTAATTTTTATTGGCGTCTTAGTGTCCCGCACTGTTCGATAAGGAAGAAGATTCTCGCTCATATTTACGTGCCGTGAAACCACATATGTGTTTAAATTGTTGAAGAATGTCAGAGTATAAATTAGCTTCAAAAGGAAAAGGAAAACTAAGCTTTAAAGGCGAAAAAAGTTCAAAGTAAGTTTCTTGCGCATCAATTGTTTACTTCATAGTTGACTAGAAACATAAAATCTATGCTTTAAGAAAAAAGAAAAAGCGGAAAGCCGAAGAATCTTTTGAGGAAGAGGGGCAACAAGAAGGTATAGTTGTGTAAGGAATTTATCAATATTCTATATATTGTAAAAGCTTGCATAAATTAAACGACATTACCACACATAGGTTGGATTTTTGCTCAAACAATGAGCGACCTTGTTGGTCCTCTATACTTGATCTTCAATAGCGAACCTCTTTGCTGTCTTCACATGTCTGAGAAAGATCGTTCAATAAACATTCAACCACTCCAGAATCAAAATCTCGCCATGGTTGAACCTGAAAATGTTAATTGCGTGTTTGTTGGTGCTCAGATAATTGGCAATCCGGATCACATCTCATTGAAGACGTGTGATGGGAAATATCTATCATCTGATAAATTCGGGATAATAACTGCAGATAAGGAGGCAATTGGACCACAAGAAGAATGGATACCCATAATTCGGGAGGATGGTATTGCGTTACAAAACTCCTACGAACGTTTTTTGAGTGTTGATGAGATTGCAGATGGTGGATATAAGTTACGAGCGGACGCGGAAACCATCGGGTTCTGTGAGACCTGGCGGGTAAAGTGTCAAGCGAGATTAAAAAAAAAACAAAAGACTGCAAAAATAGAGGATAAACCTGCTCGTGATTTTGAAATTGAGCAAATGTAAGTACTCGTAAATTAAGGTTCTTGCAAATTCTGTTTTGAGTAAGTTTTTGATATCTTATGGATGATTGAATTTTTTATAGCAAAAAATATCAAACATGGGGTGGTGGTCGAGTAAAAGCCACCGGTGAAGATATTTCAGAATTGAAAAAAGCAAAGAAGGAAGGAAATTTTAATGAGGCGTAAGTCGACTTTAAATTCCCATTTTCTTTTCAGCATCCTGTATATATGTTTTTCTGAGGGCGATTTTTGATTGTACACAGATTACTTGACCGTCGTGAAAAAATGAAAGCAGACCGATATTGTAAATGAAAGAATACATCATCAATTATTCATTTGCAGTCTGGATCAAATTGGTAAAAATTTTATTTCTGTGATAATATGAGTTAATTCTCAATGATGATAAGACACCATATGTATCGTTATTTATATCTGCCAAAGAAACTCAAGAAAGAGTTGATGTGGACTTGGTGTAATCTTCTCTCTGAGGGAATTATTATATATTTTTGTCCAATTTTTGTTGAATTTTTTGAATTATTATCAATTTTTTCATAGATCTGTGCCCCGAAACTAAATTAATACGATTTATGCATGTACGTATGTTGTAATTAATTCTTCGGTTTAACGGGTTGACTCTTACTAAAATGATCTGAAATATTACTCTATATAGTTCACACGAATGGATGCTTGTAAAGCTTTGGAATTTCTCTCCGTATTGGGCAATATCAAGAGAAGGCGTTGTCTGTGACATTGTTCAGAAAATGGGGGAAAAATCTTAATGTTGGCAAGATCTATACTGTGATCACGCCACTGAAATATGTTTCAACTTTCTACTTTATCGAAATCCTATCGTGTTAAAGGAATTTTCCTTTTCAATCGAAATTACATTAAATGAAGCAAAACATAAATAGAAATTTTTAATAAAACAAATTTCTTGCAATATCTTCTATAACATCAATAACGATATGGGTATTGGACGATCGAGATTGGGTTTTATTCATGATCAATAGTAAGGATCTCAAAATCTTTTTCTATAATCATGCATTCTTTAGTTAATAATGCGATTCTGAAAAAGTGCACTTAAAAGTAAGTTCATATAATAAAAATAATTAAAAAGAGTATAAACCTTTGAATTATTTATTTTACGAAAAAATGCTATAATCAACTCTTCCTACTAGATTTTGTGATATAATTTCAACCTAATTGGCAAGTGACAACCATCATAAATTGACTTTACTCTTCATTGATTCACACTTTTATTCTTGGTCGGCTAGATTGTGAAAATTAATACTTGCAATGCACTTAATAATAAAATCCAAAATTTAAAGAATTCTTATGCGACCAGAATTTTTTATTTATTCATTTTCTTAGAAGCGGTTAGTAGCCATATCCCCACGTAGCCGATTATAATCGGGAAGGCATTCAACTAATAATCACATAATAATTATTAATCAGTAAGCTATTAGCAATGATAATAATCATCAAGTAAATAGATTTTGAGATTATACCTGGTCCTACGCCAACAACCGCCACATCTTGGTCCCATAAATATTTACCAGCCACACTTCTTACATCGTCGACAGTAATTTTCGATATAATTTCTTCTATTGTCTTTGGAGTGTTTCTTTTACCAGTAGTGATCAGTTGACGACCAATATCTTCGGCTACCGCGGTCGTTCCATCTAAACTTAATAAAAGCGAAGCTTTCAATTGTTGTTTGGCACGTTCAACTTCAGCTTCTGTCACGGAAGTATGCAATCTACGATATAAATTCGATCCATCCTGAAATTAATATGCTATTTCTAAATAAGAGGAAACTAACAGAAGAAATTCACCTCCAAAATTCTTTGCATGTAAAATGAACTAAATCATCTAATTGTTCTTTATTTTCTGATATGAGATAAATTCCAAATAATCCGGTATCACTATAACTCGTGTTAAATGCTTGAAATGAATTTGCTAATTGATTTTTATGAACTATATGTGAGAGACGTGATGATAAATGTGGCGCTGATCCTAAAGATCTATCCCATGAGCCAATAATCGATTGAGCAACTAACAATGGGTAATAGTCAGGTGATGTCCATCCAACACCTTCCACGGCAATTGCAATATGGGCTTGAGGTAATTCATCATTTCTCACACGTACTTCAGAACCAGTAAATGGTGGTTTCTCGCCTCGCGGTGCTCCAAGAGACGTTGGATCTGGTGAAGTCGGAAGAGATGAAAAATGTTTTTCTGCCAATTTGACAAGTTCATCATGATCCACGCCTCCAGTTCCAACTAATACCATTCGATCTGATGTATAATTTTTTGCTATATACTCGAGCAGATCGGTTCTTTTTAATGAGAGAATATTTTCTTTAGGACCAAGTATAGTACGACCCAATGAGTGTCCTAATTCATAGAACCGTTTTCATAGTAATTTCAAGTTGGATTAAAAAGTTTCATAAAAAACCAATAACATGATGATCAATCAAACCTTGAAAAGCCGTAGCATGCAAATGATCAAACACAACTTCTTCAAGCAATTTATCAACCTCTTCTTGTTCTCTTAGAATAACATCACGTTCACGATCAATAGCTTTTTCGTCCAAAGTGGAATTCTGAAGAATATCAGATAAGATTTCGACTGCGGTATTAGCGTCATTTTTAAAAGTTCTAGCGTAATATACTGTTTGTTCTCGTGAAGTATATGCATTTAGATGTGCCCCAATATTTTCAATAAATAATTCGAGTTGATGTTGTGATCTAGATTTAGTTCCCTAAGTAAATTCCTAATTAGTCATATCTAAGACTTTGATTTCCCATTTAGATTGTTTTAAAGATTTTTTTTAGAGAAGAGAAAAACACGCTACCTTGAAGGCCATGTGTTCAAGGAAATGTGCGGCACCATTATTTTTTGGATTTTCCGCTCGGCTACCGGCATCAATCCAGATGCCAACAGTTGCAGTTTGAGCATATGGGTTCGTTTCAGTCGCTACGGTTAGCCCATTCGGCAAGAGAGAACTGCGCGTTATAGGCTGATTTAGGCTTGCTTCTGAAGCATAAGGTCGCACAAGCTAAATCAAAAAATGAGATAATTTAGCAGTAAAAAATAGAATTCCAGCTACCATAGAAGCACAAGAGCTTTTATCTTTACTTGTCTTGTTAAGCCACGACTAAAAGAGCCTCGTAAGACTTTAGACAATAGACGAGAAGCCATCGAACGACGTTATTTTGTTCTAACGCTAAATAAAAATTTTATTTGTATACGAAGCGATCGAAATAATTATGAAATGTAACATCTATCACTGCTTTTTTGGCTCATGACAGTATCTTTCGTCAGAACATGTCAAGTCAAGTTAATCAATGTATGGAAACGCTCGTTTTTTTTTTTAGAGAATTAGTGCTATCGATTTAGAATCCCTTGTTTTTTATAGATAGTTCTAGCATTGGTGAACTCGAGTCTTTACTAAGTCAGCTGAGTTTAACTAGCGGTAATACATAAAGCTTTCATATTCATGCGTTTATTTAATTTTTTGGAGGATTTTTCGTGTTTCCACCCGTCAATTCAACGTTTGGTTTTCTTGACAAATATATTCAGAACAGCATAACTTAGAAAACCTTCCTTCACTTATTTATGGCCTTCAAAATTGCAAGCAAATAATATCCGACCCAACCTCAAGTCCCGAAGTTCGTGCGCATTGCTGGGAGTTGGTGACTAAAGCCGGCGAAATATGTGCAAATTTTGCCAAAAATGGTAATTCTATTATATTCTGTCAGATTAATTTGGAGAATGCGAATAATAATGTTCTGAAATTTAGCTGACTCACGTGATGTTATTGGATCTTCCGGAACTATTGAGCTTGTGACCGAATTCCTCCAACTTAATTACCAAAATGGGTCTCCTTCATCAAATGTTCAATGCTTCCGAGTTTTGGCTAACTTATGTATTGATCATGGTAAAATATTTATTCTATCCGCTTATGATCATTTAATTTAACTTTGATAATCTAAATATTACTATCTGTTTTTGCAGAACGAAATCGACAGAAAACATTGGATTCCGGTGGAATTTCGGCAATATTATCAATTTTAAAACATAATGATGATTTAGACATCCTAAGAACTGGCGCTGGCGCATTATTAAATGCTGGATTAGAATATGGTAATTTAAAAAGAAAATATATATTTCAATGATCCTTTTTGCTAATGTTTAAAAATATATATATATTGTAGATCCAATAAATATCGAAATTTCTCGAATAGATGGATTATCAACACTATCAAAAATATTAGAGCCTAATAACATATTGTTAAAAAATGTTGAAAATATTGATGCCGCGCGTACAACGGTCCATTTTACCACCCGAGTATTTTCAAATGTTGCGTCAACAGGTTTTATAATTATTGTTATTTTATCTCTAATGATTCAAAAATTGAGGCTTTTAACCATATATAATATTTTAATAGACGAAGGAAAAAAAAGATTTGCTGATGAACGAGTGCTTTCTTCATTGATTCATTTGTTGTCACATACATCCTCGGAAAAAGCGACAGAAGATGATGTCGATACATTAGAGAACGTGGTTGAAATATTAGAGATAATTGCCTTAGATAATGGTAAATATTTTTTTTGCTTTATATGATTATTTATTTTTAATTATTAATTAAATTTTTGCCTAATTTTATTTAATAACAGAAAAGATACAAGAAATTATTGTTCGGAAAGGATTATTTACAAATCTATTAGATTATTTAGAATACGCTAAACCACCCAACGAGGAAAATGAGAAGCTTAATAAACAATATGGAGAATGGAAGGCAGTTGTTCTGAAAGTAGTTGTCTCTACTACAATGAGTGGTAAACAATAAATAATATACTTTCTCTTTTTAAGAACTATCGGTTTATTATTTAATGTGTGTCTTTTCCCAAAACCTAGATAATAATATGACCCCATTATTTGAAAACGAGACAATTTTAAATAGGTTTTTTGGATGGTTAAATATCGACCCTTCGCGTGATGATCTTCAAATGTGTGCTGCTTTAGCTCTGGGCAATTTGGCAAGAAATGGCAAGTAATATTAGATGTTTATAATTTTTTTCCGTGAATAAGAAATTAATTTGTCTATGTCAATTTTTTTTTTGCCAAATCAATAGACACAAATTGCATCAAATTAGTTCATGAATTCAAGGTAGATGAGTCGTTAATTAATGCACTAAAAACTTCCGAAAATAATGTTAAAGTTCAACATGCAGTTATTGGGATCATTAAAAATCTGGTTATACCTGGTAAATCGAATTTCTAACCTTAAAATTTTTCAGTAAAGAAAAATAATACTTATTAGTTGTTTTTTATTGTTTTTTTAATAATCATTGTTTTTAAACGATTTATTCCAGTTCCAAATAAATCGTTGATTGGCTCGCATGGAGTAATTGAACTCGTATCACCACTATTAGATCCCGAAACTATTCAACCTATTCAACTCGGCGTTATTGGAATTTTAAAACATCTTTCATCAGGGGATGGTAATAATTTTCCGAGTGTTAACTCTTTGAATTGTTATTGGATTATCATTATTTATCGTCAATAATATCTTTCGTGTGTCTACTTCAGTTTTAAATTCGAAGCGAATTATCCTTGGTGAAAAAAATTCCACATCGAGTTCTACTTCAGAAACTGCAATGGAAACAACACCTCCTACACCTCTTGCCAGACTTCTAATTCTGACGCGGAAAGCCGATGATATATCAATCCGAAGTGAAGGAACTCGTGTGCTCGTAAATTTGATTAAAACCATATGGAGTGATAAATCCAGTTTGATACCAGGTTAAAAACTTTAATGTTTTCTTATGACAATTGAATTTTGTTAAATTATCTGCTGCTGAAGCCCAACAAACTTATGCTTTAGATGGGGTAACTCTCCAAGATTTGCGATCGAAATTGAACACAAATGAAATTGTTCGACTTTTAAATGATTTGATAGTAGAGTCAAAATATCCTATCCTACAGAACGAAGGTGTTATTGGTTTAACATTGCTTGTGATGGATGATTCTGCTAAAGGTAATACCAAATTAAGTATTATAAAATATATTAGCTTTTCTAATTCGACGTAACCTTCAACAGGACAAAATCCTACTTTGTACTACTTGACAAATAACACACAAGTATCGGAACCCAATGTTGTTGATGACAATTCATCAAATATAATTGCTTCGTGTTCCTCATCAACTGCCACTTCAGTGTCGCCTCTATTAGATTCCCTTCTTGTCATTATGGTTAATAATAAAGATAAATACCCGGAAGAAATACGTCATAATGTGTGTGTGTTATTAGAGAAAGCTATCGAAGCTTCTAATAATTCATGTAAGTTTTGCATTATTTATTTAATATGTGAAACAATGATAGTCCATCTTAACAAAAGCTTATTTTTAGATAAAGGTTATTTCCAAGATCACATAAAAAAACTATTAGTACCATTATTGGATCCAAATCGAGTGAGACCTATTCCGGATATTCTCAAAAGTGACTTTGAAAAACTAATGCAAAGTTTGACTTAGCATTCGACTTTACGAATTTATGTGATTTATTAAATATTTAAATTCGCATGCCATACATAAATGGTGTTTCAAAATAAAATTAATTTAATATTCTGCAAGTTCATCATTATGTTCTTGATTATTCTTCGAAAATATTCCATTTTTTAGAAATTCATTCTTTTAATTTCTTGATATTTGCAACATCAACTTCATTGTCAGGACGATGTTAAAGACATTGAATGAATATTTAATTGTACAACGAAATAATGGGACATCATTAAGTTATGGCACGTGCACCCGAGTTTCCTAAAATTAGTATATCAAAATACAACGAATTTTAAATATTTAATATGTCAAGGTAAATTTACTAAAACTTTTATTCGTTATACATTATATCAAGGTTTATTATAGTGATTATTTATTAGATCTAATTTTAGCTGAAAATATTTTCTTTATATAGGTCCGTTATATCAAAAAGTAATCACTTTGGGGACAGTGCTGAATCAGGTGATCTTTCAGGGTGCCGGTGGACGATACACCATTAAAGAAAAGGAGAAAGAGGATAAAACCAACCTTCAAGTCTCGAACACCATGCCCCGGATCGCCTTGCTCTGAATTGCCATTGGTTTAATTCAATTTACGTTGAAGAAAAGGTTATGAAAATTCAGAATCCAAATCAGGGAAATTTGAAATTAAAATTGATCCGAAATCGCATAAATTATCATATAGTAAAATTTCATCATATAGTAAAATTTCATCATATAGTAGAATTTCATCATATAGTAGAATTTCATCATATAGTAAGGAAACAATCTATATATCTTTTATCTTGCAATTTATATATCTTTTATCTTCTAA